CCTTCACTAGGGGGGTCTTCCCCTTCTTTGGGCTCTGGGGCCGCGGGTCCAGCTTCTCCCTGGATTGCTGAAAGGGTTTAGTTAGTCCAAACTCTAGTCAAGTATGGTGTGGATTTCAACCCTGCCTGGGTTACAGGGAAAACTTGGGATAGAAATGACTTCTCTGGACAATGCAGTGGTGACTGTTGGCAAGCGATGGGAGACAGGGTGGGGTCATACCATCAAGCCTCTCCCCAGTGCTCAGAGATGCGCAGGGCATCTGCAGACTCAGCTGCTGCCTGCTCCTCTCATTCCCAGCGAGAACCAAAGTTGCTGTGTACAGGAGAGAGGCCTGGACTTGGAACCAGAAGATCTGGATTCTAGACCAAGCCTTGGACGATTTCAAACAAACAAACAAACAAACAAAAACATACATATACATCACCTTTCTTTATCTTGTTTTTCTTCCCAAAGATTTGACTCCTGTCTTCAAGAAGCATTTGTTGTGTGTTATGAACCTAATAGTGTGAGCCACTGGTGATTTGAAAATAAAAAGGAAAAAAAAAGTTTGTCCTATATATGAGGAATCTCTGGGGAGGCTGGGGAAGATAAGGTGGACATTTCAACATGGTGTGGCTTCTGTGTCAGGGATCCCACTGGGTGTTATGGAAGCCTGGAGGAGGCTTAGCTCTGTTTGGAGGGAGGGGGGACTCCCTCCCTCTCATATGGTGAGCAAGAAGCACCTTAAGAAGGGAGGACAGCCTAGCTACTCAGGAGGATGAGATCTGAGGATCACAGTTCAAAGCCAGCCAAGGCAGGAAAGTCTGTGAGACTCTTAACCGCTAGAAAACTGGAAGTAGAGCCTGTGGCTCAAAGTGGTAGCATATCCGCCTTGAGCAGAAAAGCTCAGGGACAGTGCCCAGGCCCTGAGTTCAAGTCCCATGACCAACAACAACAACAAAAAAGAGAACAGCAGAGAACTGGATCGATCTGGGTGCTAGTGGCTCATACCTGCAATCCTAGCTACTCAGGAGGCTGAGAACTGAGTATATGTGAGACTCTTATCTCTAATTAATCAGCAGAAAACTGGAAGTAGAACTGTGGCTCAAAGTAGTAGATCATGACTTGAGTGAAAGAGTTCAGGGACAGTGTCCAGACCTAGAGTTCAATCCCCAGAACTGAAAAAAAAAAAAAAAAACTGGGGGGGGGGTGTGGGAAATGGTCTGTGCCTTCATGGGGCATTGGGTAATCTTCATGAACAAGGTGCCTGGGTAGTCCTAATGAATTTTCATGTGTGTTCATCAGGATCATCCAGGAACCTGGTTCTGAATGAGGCAGAGTAGCTTAGTGGTTGAGAGATCTTGAGTCAGAAGCCAGCCACTGGTGAATCATGCCTGTAATCCTAGCTAAGCAGGAGGTGGAGATCTGAGGATCATGCTTTGAAACCAGTCCAAGCAGGAAAGTGTGAGACTCTTATCTTCAATTAATGATCAAAATGCTGGAAATGGAGCTGTGACTCAAATGATAGAAAGGCTTGTGCAAAAATGTTGAGATAGCACCCAGACTCCAAGTTCAAGCCTCCATACACACACTTATTCTCTGTTTCTCTCTTGCATACACACACACACAGATCATGAGTCAGGCATGGATTAAAATCCTAACTATATGAAGTTGGTTGAGCAAATAATAAAACTTAGCAGATCTCAACTTTGTTTACTTTATTTTATTTTACATTTTTTGGGTCCGGTCAGGGGGGCCTGAACTCTGGGCCTGGGCGCTGTCCCTCAGCTCTTCAGCTCAAGCCTAGCACTCTACCACTTGAGCCACAGCGCCACTTCCGGCTTTTTTTCTTTTTGCTTATGTGGTGCTGAGGAATCGAACCCAGGGCCTTAGGCATGCAAGGCAAGCGCTCTACCACTGAGCCACCTTCCCAGCCCCTTTCTTTACTTTAAATGGAATAATAATACAATCTTCTTCACAGAATTACCACAATGAGTGACAAGGTGTAGAAAGCCAATGTGTATAAAGAAGTGGGATATATGCAGAAATAACTGGTATACAATTATAAGAGTTACCCATTTCCAACATGGTGTCTTGTGAGTATCATTGTTGCAATGGGTCATCCTGTGTCCTTGTTTCAGCATTTTGTTATTCCCCTTCCCTCTCCAAATTAGATAAATGTATATACAAGATTCAAGGCACCAAAATCAAATACAGTGACAACAGATCTATACCATAAGAGGAAGAATATACAAAAGAAACCAAAAAAAATCACATAGTACATTAAAAACAACCACAACAAAGAAACCTCTTGTCCATATCTTAGGGTTCATTTCATTTAGCATCATCTTATATGGTCATATGTACATAGCTTTTGAGCTTTTCTGCTTATCTGATAAGATTATCCTAGACATATACTAATTATTGCAAATGACGGAATCCATGCAATCTTTGTTTCTCTGGGTCCAGCTTACTTCACTTAATATTATTTTTTCCAAGTCTTTCCATTTCCTAACAAGTGGGGAAGTATCATTTTTTCTGATGGAAGCATAGAATTCCAGTGTGTATGTGTGTGTGTGTGTGTGTATCACATTTTCTTGATCCATCCATTTTCTGAGGGGCATCTGGGTTGGTTCTATATCTTAGCTATGGCTGGGGGGGGGGGGGGGAGTGAGAGAGGAGAGAGGTAGGGGAAAGAAGGGATGATGGGAGAAAAAGGAGGAGGGGGTAAAAATGCCTGACAAGAAATGTACTCATTACCTTACTGATGAAACTGTAACCTCTCTGTACAGCATCTTTACAAGAAAATAATTTTTTTAAACCGGGTTTTACAAGAAGTACAGGTTTTCTTTATTATTTACATCTACACAATGAAAAGAAAAATCATAAACTTACAGTGAAGGTTTAACAAAAGAAAATATACCAGCTGGGCATTGGTATCAACACCTGTAACCTTAACTACTCAGAAGGCTAACATCTGATGATTGGCAGAAAAGTCCAAGTGGATGTGGAACTATGGCTCAAGTGGTATAGCACCAGCCTTGAGTGAAAAAGTTAAAGGACAGTGCCAGGTCACAAGTTCAAGTCCCAGTAAGAAAATAATTTTTAAAAAAATGAGGTAAAGGGCTGGGAAGTTGGCTCAGTGGTAGAGTGCTTGCCTCCCATGCATGAGGCCCTGGGTTCAATTCCTCAGCCCCACATAAGCAGAAAAAAGCAAGAAGTGGCACTGTGGCCCAAGTGGTAGGGTGCTAGCTTTGAGCTGAAGAGCTAAAGGACAGCACCCAGGCCCAGAGTTCAGCCTCCACAACTGACAAAAAAAAATGAGTTAAAGATATTTTAAAAATCAGGCCGGGCGCTGGTGGCTCACGCCTGTAATCCTTCCTACTCAGGAGGCTGAGATCTGAGGATCGCGGTTCAAAGCCAGCCCGGGCAAGAGAGACTGTGAGACTCCTATCTCCAATAAACCACCAGAAAACCAGAAGTGGCACTGTAGCTCAAGTGGTAGAGCGCTCGCCTTGAGCTGAAGAGCTGAGGGACAGTGCCCAGGCCCAGAGTTCAAGCCCCACGACCAACAAAAAAAAAAAAAAAAGATATTTTAAAAATCTACATAAAGAATCTGCAAAAAGTTAATTCGTTAAAAAGATAAAGTGGATAAACTCTAAGCCAATCTGATCCTCCCCCCAAAAAGAGTTACCCATATTTTTAAGTAAAAACTGCCACATATTCACTACCTTAAAAGAACCTACATTTATTATCTCACAGTTTGTGCATCAAAAAGTTGGGCACAGTCAGGTGCTGGTGGTTCACACCTATAATCCTAGCTACTCAGGAGGCTGAGATCTGAGAATTGTGGTTCAAAACCAGCCTGGGCCAAAAGGCTGTGAGTCTCATCTCCAATTAACCACCAGAAAACTGGAAGTAGTGCTGTGGCTTAAATAAATGGTAGAGCGGTAGTCTTGAGCTGAAGAGCCCAGGGACAGCGCCCAGGCCCAGAGTTCAAGCCCTACAATTGACAAAAAAAAAAAAAAAAAAAAGTTGGGTGCAGCTTAACTGAGTCTCATCATCTTAAAGAATATAATCACGGTCTCAGGTAGACCAGAGTCTCATCTGGAGGCCCTACTGGGGAAGGAGATAGATACTTCCATTCTTGCTCAGGTTCTAGGAACTGTGAAGCGGAGGTCCCTGATTTCTATTGGCTGACAGAGACTCCTCTCAGCAACTAGAATCTGCTGGCAGATCCTTTCTTCAGGACAGCTAACTTCAGTAAGTCAGCAAGGAAAGGACAGTCCCAATATAAGTAGTCCAGCAAGGAAGAGTCCTAGGAATAGTAAAATAGCTACTGACTCAGCCATATTGAAGCAAGTGACAGTCCTACTCATACTCCTGGGGAGAAGGTCATATAAAGGCATGGACAGACATTAAGAGGTGAGGACCCTGGGGGGCCACAGTTGAGTGGCAGACAGCTGCTGGTACTGGAGTGTAAAATATTCTTCTCATAGACCTTTTAGGCTCCATATGCTGAGGTGGTCTCATTGCTAGAGAGCTTTGCCATACAGATACCTGGATGATCACTGCCCCCCTTTTATTTGTTGGTTGTGGAGGCTGAACTCGGCCTGGGCGCTGTCCCTTAGCTCTTCAGCTCAAGGCTAGTGCCCTGCCACTTGAGCCACAGTGTCACTTCCAGCTTTTTCTGCTTATGTGGTGCTGATGAATTGAAGCCAGGGCTTCATGCATGCAAGGCAAGCACTCTACCACTGAGTCACCTTCCCAGCTCCTCCCATTTTTAACATGAAATGTGAACTGTGCATGCTACATTGCTTCATAGACAAAAAGGCACAATGTGTAAATGGTCCCCAAGATTGTGGAACTGACCACCACAGTGGGAGCCACAAGTCTGGGCCCGGTCAAGAAAGGAGATTGTGTCTATGGGTCACAGAGTAAGACATCACATGATGGCTGTGGGAATGAGGACATAGGAACTTGTTGAAGAGACACCAGAGCTGAAGATGCACCAGGCAGAGCTAATGGGGGGCTGGGCCGGTGGAAGAAAGGTGAGAGAGCAGTCCATCTAAATTCTGTGGAGCACTCCTAGAAACAAGAAAACCTTCATAAATTCATATATACTCCTGTATCTGTTGAGCCTGCACAGGCTGCATAGCATGGATAACAGAGAAGCAGGTCTCCTTGATCTTGATGGAGCCTGTGTGTGTGTGTGTGTGTGTGTGTGTGTGTGTGTGTGTGTGTGTGTCTGTGGTGTGTGAGGTTTGCACGTGTCTGCATACATGGAGGAAGGAAAGGATGCCTCATACCTTTTCAGTAAGTCACGGACATTCTAGGAGGGAAAGAAAGATGGTGAGAATTATAATCAGTTCTCAAGTTCCTGGCAACCTAATTCCTTTCCCAACTGGCTGCTGAAGTCCACTCTGGGGGTGTTGCCTAGGAAGCTTTGAAGGCTTTGAAGGGATTCTCTGATGATACAGCATGATTTGGCTCTGGACAAACCACCAGCGCCTGTCACCATGTATCACAAGAGATTCTCCCCTTACACACCCCGTAGAAGTGTGCATTGCAGGTGGGACACCTACTCTTCAGGGACAATCCTAGGACTGGGGAGATGTCTCAGGATAAATACCTTCAGTGTAGTGGCATCCAGTTCCTTGGACATCTTCTCTATATCTGTGACCAGATTGGCAAGCTGGATGACCGCCTTGGAGAGGTAAAGGTATCTGGCTGCCTCTGCTGGCATGTCCTCCAGCTGGCCCAGCTGCTGCTGACAGAGAGCATCCAGCTGCCCCTTGTTTTGGCACTGGCTCTCCAGCTCTGCTTCTAGCTTAAGGTATGTTAAGTCAACCTGAAACCAAAGAAACGGATCTCCCTAAGTTACCCAAGGGCAAATGGCTCCCTCCCAGCCCTCCAGGAGCGGAGAGCTGTGTGCCAATGCACGTCCTCCATCTCTGTGTCCTCCTACCCTCACAGCAGTGTCTCACCTGCCACAAGAACTTCAGAGACAGCTGTGCCCCTCAGAAAGTTGAGGTAGCTTTTCTTCCCCCTTTGCACTCTTGTGCATCTCTGCAGATGTCAAGTCTTAGTGTGGTGGAAGTGTGCGTGCACACGCACACATACAACACTTCTCAGCAGGCAACTCTCACTGCCTGCTTTTAGCTCTCTTCAGGTCATAGATTAGCAGAGAGTTCACCCAAAGGAGCAAGATGAACAAAAAGACAAACCGTTGGGGACAGCATTATAGATTGTGCAGTCATTTTCATTTGTCTCTTCTGATTCTCATGCATCAGGGAGAACAGGATTGGGTTTCAGTTAACATGTAGGTCTAGATGGCCCTTCTGCTAGCTAATCCTTTAACCACATCAACACAGATTTCCAGCCTCCACAACCATTACTTTATCCCAGGCTATTGAGTGACACAGACACAGGACTTCCCTGGATTCCAACTGCCTACCTGCAGAGCCTGCAGCTTCTCCTCCTCCTGCACTTTCAGCCGCTCAAGTTCTCCCAGGTCCTTTCTAAGCTTCCTGCTCCGGCGGTTGAGTCTTTCCTAAAGAGACAGACAGACACATCTGTTTGATAAACCAGGGATGAGGGCAAAATATTGGGGTAAGATTTGACGAATCATGGTTGGGTCTTGATCCCAGATGAGGCATCTTTAAAATCCTGCATCTTTAAAACAGGCAATTGCTGGGTGCAGGTGGAGATCTGAGGATTGCAGTTCAAAGCCAGCCTGGGAAGCAAACAAAGTCCATGAGACTCTGAGATTCTTATCTCCAATTAACGATCAGAAAACCAGAAGTGGCACTGTGGCTCAAAGTGGTAGAGTACCAGTCTTGAGCAAAAAAGCTCAAGGGACAGCGCCCAGGCCCTGGGTTCAATGATCAACAAAAATAATCATAATTTTAACAAAATAAAACAGGCAACTTTGAGGCATGTCTGAGGTAAGGAACTTGAAAGTTTATTTTATAGATAATGAAGGAAAAAAGTGATGAATAATCTTTTTTTAAGTTTTAGAAATATAAAAATAACAGATAATGACAGAAGTATTTCTACTTGATATCAGGGTGCTTTTCTTCTCATTTGTAAAAGTCATGGGCCAATCTTCCTTGTGTATATTTAAGTTGGTATAAATTAAGTTAGTGTAATTAATTTGATTTAATTGTAAATTTATAATTTACTGTACATTAAATTTATACTTTACAATTTAAAGTACGTTACGCTTACAATTTATAATTTAATACAATTTAATTTATGATTTAACTCACTTTATTTAGTGAATGTTAAATTGTAAATAGGATACTATGTGATGTTTGCATACATATTTATATATTATAGAATGGTCAAATCAGGGTAAGAATACCTAACTTCTCAGAAATTTATCATTCCTTTGTAGTAAAAGCATTCAAAAATCCTTCCTTCTAGATTTTTTTCTATACAAATCTTGGTTCTGGGCGCTGTCCCTGAACTTTTATGTAGGGGGGTGGCATTAGGGAGGGGGGCCTCAGGCTTGAACTCAGGCCCTAGGCACTGTCCCTGAGCCTTTTGTTCAAGGCTAACACTTTACCACTTGAGCCACAGCTCCACTTCTGGCTTTTTTAGTGGTTAAATGGAGATAAGAGTCTCATAGACTTTCCTGCCTAGGCTGGCTTCAAATTATCCTCCGATCTCAGCCTACTGAGCAACTAGGATTACAGATGTGAGCAACTGGTGCCTGGTATACTGTCATTTCTTAAAATACTCTTTCCTGATCTGGGCAACTAGCGACTCACTTAGTCTTAGCTACTCAGGAGGATGAGATCTGAGGATCACAGTTCAAAGCCAGTTTGGGCAAGAAAGTCTGTGAGAGTCTTCAGCTTGGATTCAACTTGTCCTAAGTGAAACTCTTGAAGTTTCATTCAAGCCTGTTCTCCTCAATCCTTATCATTCACATCATCCCTTTAGTAGCTTAAACCAGAAACTCATGAGGTCATGTTTGATTCTTTTTACTCCTTTACCTGCTTTGAATTTACCAATAGATCCTGCCTATTTAAACTCTGATTGCAAACAATTTAAATGTAACAAGACTTGGACACATTTGGACCTCTGTATCTGCTTCCTTTCCCCAGTATTTGCATGGGTACACTTCTTTTTTTCTAGGTCTCAACTTCAATATCACCTTCCCCTCAAGACCAGATTAACATGGGCCTGCCCATTCAGACTCTTATTTATTTCCTTCCTGGGTCATAAAAACTTCTAACTTATTTGATTTCTTATGTGTCGGTCTTCCTTACTTAATTGAAAACCCAGGGTAACAGACTTCACTCATCATTCAACCACACTTAAGTTTCTAATATATTTTCAGGAAGAGCTCACTGTTTTCCTTAAATGAAAAAATACTATTGTTATTTATTTGTGCTCCATTTCCTGTCATTATTTAAACAGAGATTTGAAGACGATGATCATGAATCATCTTTCCACTTCCTACAACGCCTAACACCACATTCTTCCCGAGTTCAGGCCTGAGTAAATCATTTAGTGAGTGAGTAGATTTTTCTCCCTCAGGTCTGACTCATTGATTATTGGAACGTCCCTTCCTGCTCTCCTGTAGACCACACACCTGGGGGTACAGACCAACACTGAATATTCCCACTTCACTTTCCTGCATTATTTGTCTACCTTTCTATGTCATCCCCAAACAGTGTTCTTGCAAAATCATGTGTCGAAAAGAAGACTGGAAAATCACCCTTCGTTATTGAATATAAAGACACTATGGTGTAAATATTGCCTGTCTTCCATCCAATCAAATACTAATTGGTTTGGAGTGGGGAAAGATGGATGAAAATAATTAAGTTAAATTGACAAGATTAACATACAGGAATATCCACAGGAATTCTGAAAACCAAGAGTACTGTGAAGTTTCCAAGACTCACTTAACAGAAATGGAGAGGGCAGGTTTTGATTTGCTCCCCCCCCCCCCCCCCCCGCCGCCATGGCTATCCTGTAGTTGTAGTTATTTACAATTTTGTATCTGCCTATTTTTCATTCCTAAAGAGATTAAGATGGAGACCAAATAATGTTGCCAGCTACAGATGATTAGATGATTAACCTCATCTATAGTTGATGAGTTGATTTACTCTCTAAAAAGATAGGAGTTGGAGATCAGACTTCTGTGGGGGGGGGGGGCTTGAAGGGTGGGGAGGTGTGAAGGGGTTGTAGCTACAAGTATGAAGACTGAAGGACAGGGGCTGGGAAGATGGCTCAGTGGTAGAGCGCTTGCCTTGCATGCCTGAGGCCCTGGGTTCGATTCCTCAGCACCACATAAGCAAAATGAAAAAAAAAAAAGCCGGAAGTGGCGCTGTGGCTCAAGTGGTAGAGCGCTAGCCTTGAGCTGAAGAGCTGAGGGACAGCGCCCAGGCCCAGAGTTCAAGCCCCATGACTGGACCCCCCAAAAAAAAGACTGAAGGACAGAGTGGATGTGCAGCAACTCCACACACTGCCTGGGGCCAACTGCAGTGTGACTATTATGTCAATGACAGTGAAAACTCAGAAAATGGCCAGGAAAAGAGAATTGTTTCATTGAGGAGCCCTGAGTGGTAGCATAGATTTCTCTAGTAAACTAGCAGGAGCCTCAGATATGCTAGCACATGGGCAAAAAGACATAATCTATCAAGAATTTCTGGGGGGTTTGTGGGGAAGGGCTGAGAAAATAGAGCAACAGGACAGCCAAGAAAAAATAAAAAGTAAGGGGCTGGGAAGGTGGCTCAGTGGTAGAGCGCTTGCCTTGCATGCCTGAGGCCCTGAGTTCGATTCCTCAGCACCACATAAGCAAAAAGAAAAAAAGCCAGAAATGGCGCTGTGGCTCAAGTGGTAGAGCGCTAGCCTTGAGCTGAAGAGCTGAGGGACAGCGCCCAGGCCCAGAGTTCAGGCCCCACGACCGGACCCAAAAAAAAAAAAAAAAAGAAGAAAAAAGAAAAAGTAAAAGGGTGCCACAGTTAATGATGAAGTAACAAAACAAAATCGATAAGAGACTTTCCTAGCAAATGTTCTTCAAAGGAGAAGTCAAAGAAGGAAAGGGGAGGGGGGAGGTGTGAAACCATGCGTTAATTTCCAATTTCAATTACTTAGACGATGATTACTAGCCCTTAACTACACTTCTAGCACGTTTCTAGTGCTGTTAACCGCAAGGCAAACAGTCTCAGTACAGAAAGGGTTTTGTTTGATCTAGTCTAACTTCCTCAGTCTACAGATGAGCAAACAGAGTGGTACATGCTGGGAATCCATCATCAGAGTGACAGCATGGCTTTTTAGATGATCTCACATAAAGGCAGAATGCCATCAGATATACACAGAAAAGCAAAGGCAAGGATCGACAACAGGATTGGGTAGAAATGACAAAAGAAGGTGGCTGAGCCTCTAGGGTACTGGGTACAGGAAGGAGTCAGTAACTGGGAGGGAGAGGGAATGGAGGGAGAATGGACGGCAGAACCACCTTACCTTATAGTGGCTGATGGCATGTTCAATGGTTGGCTTGGGATGGGACTGATGTTCAGGTAACTCCAGGCAGTCCACACACAGCAGGCTTCCTGTCTCCTCACAGAACCTGCATACCCTTTTCTGGTGATGGGGACAGATGTAACCTTCACCCAGCACGTCCTCAGAACAGGGCTTCCGGCAGAGGGGGCAGCAGAGGACCCTGGACGTCGAGGCCTCCACATGGTGAGTCAGGCACACTCGACAGAAGAGGTGTTTGCAGTCGGTGCTCACAGCTTCCTTCAGGGGTTCCAGGCAGATGGGGCAGACACCCTCCTCTGGGCCGCTTTTTTGCAAAGAGACCATATCCTCCACCCACCCCACCAAGCTGCCCACTGGGTGTTCTAAAGGCCTGGCATGCCACAGCCCCAGATGAGAGGACTCAGCTGAAAGCAGCCACAGAGTGGCCTAGATGTCAGGACTCAGGCTCCAACTTCAAGCAATTCCCATTCGCCATCAAGAAGATTGAAGCATGGACCACACAAACCAGGATTCTGCATGAGTTTCACAAACTTCTCATTAGCTTTGTTGTACACTGGTCTGTTTCCCCTGTGTTTGTTAAACTTGAAATCAATCTGTTTTTTCCACACACATGGAGGAAGCAGGTGATTCAAAAATGAATTGGAGGGCTGGGAAGGTGGCTCAGTGGTAGAGCGCTTGCCTTGCATGCCTGAGGCCCTGAGTTCGATTCCTCAGCACCACATAAGCAAAAAGAAAAAAAGCCGGAAATGGCGCTGTGGCTCAAGTGGTAGAGCACTAGCCTTGAGCTGAAGAGCTGAGGGACAGCGCCCAGGCCCAGAGTTCAGGCCCCACAACCAGACCCAAAAAAACAAAAAACAAAAAAAAACAAAAATGAATTGGACTAGGTGTAAGTGGCTCATGTCTATAATCATAATCACACAGGAGGCTAAGATCTGAGGATTGCAATTTGAAGCCAGCCTGAGCAGACAAATCCAAGAGCCTCATCTCCAATTAACCAGCCAAAAGCTGGAAGTGGAGCTGTGGCTGTAGTGACAGAGCGCCAACCTTGAGCATAAAGGCTAATTGAGAGCATAAGGCCCTTAGTTCAAGTCCCTGGTCCAGCACAAACAGACAAACAAAAAAAAACCCACAAGTTTTCTTTTCCTTTTGAGAGTTTTCTGTGGATATTTTTTATAATTCAGAATTAATGGGGCCAGGATGTCATTGTGGAGGCTGGAAGTGAAACTCTCATAGCTTTACAAGTTAAATATTTTCTCTGATTTGCTGTTGGCTGAGAGAATTTGGTAGGTGCTTGGGCAGTTCTTTCCTTTGCTGTCATCCCAGGTGGCTTACTGCTATTGATTGCTCTACCAACTTTTACACTGGCACTTTGTTGACGAGCCACTTTCCTAATCAGCCTGGTTTCCAGGGTTATACAAATGCCACAGTGAAAGAGAAAGAGAAAGCAAATAGGACAGGGAGCAGAGCAGAGGTATAATGTATAATGCTTGAAGCTACCTGGTTCCTACCTTCCAAACCACTACTAACGATGAGCCAGAGCAGGAAGTACACCCCCCCCCCCCACACACAAAACACTCCCTTTAAATACTATGCATCATGGGCTGGGAAGGTGGCTCAGTGGTAGAGTGCTTACCTTGCATGCCTGAGGCCTTGGGTTCGATTCCCCAGCACCACATAAGCAAAAAGGAAAGAAGCCGGAAGTGGCGCTGTGGCTCAAGTGGTAGAGCGCTAGCCTTGAGTTGAAGAGCTGAGGGACAAGCGCCCAGGCCCAGAGTTCAGGCCCATGACCCCCCCCCCCCCCAAAAAAATAAATACTATGCATCCACTCTCATTGTCCCATACTATACTTTTTGCCTAATCCTACTCTCCTTCCCTCCCCCCCAAACAACCCTATCTTAGTTTCCTACCTTAATTTCTCCTTTGTCAATTTCAGGTAATTTTTCTCTGGCTCCAGACCTAGGGAAGAAGGCTAGCAGGTGAATGAATGGTCCTTCTTATATCCTGCCAACTATATATGCTTGTGTGTCAGTAAAACTGGAGTAAGGTGAAGGGACGTTCCCTAAGAAGTGATGAATTACAGGAAAATGAAAGGTGCTATGGTTGCAGGTAATTGGAAGTGGATATGGACTTTGTTTTCAGGTGTGGTTTGTTTGCCTAGGAGAAAGAGGAACGTCTTGGTGTCTTTAATGCTTATGTTACGTGGCCTGACAGTTGTGAGCAGAATGGAAACCCTCCCTCTCCTCCTCCCCAAAATCTGGTTTCAGCCATTTTGTGGATCCTCGGAATCAAGCATCAAAAGGCCATGATGACATGTATTTCTGGATAATGTTAGAATATCAACTGCCCATCCACTGTCCTCTAACTTCCCTCCAGACAGGAGGCATTGACACTACAAGGATGCCACTATAAGGGTTGTTACTTGAGGCTCTTAAGAATCTGAGACTCATTCTGGGTGCTAGTGGCTCATGCTTATAATACTAGCTACGCAAGAGGCTGAGATCTGAAGATGGAGATTCAAAGCCAACCCAGGCAGGAAAGTCCATGAGACTGTTTTGTTGTTTTGTTTTGTTTTGTTTTGCCAGTCCTGGGCCTGAGCTTCTTTTGCTCAAGGCTAGCACTCTACCACTTGAGTCACAGTGTCACTTCTGGCTTTTTCTATTTATGTGGTACTGAGGAATCAAACTCAGGGCTTCATGCATGCTAGGCAAGCACTCTACTCACAAGCCACATTCCCAGCGCTATGAGACTCTAATTTCCAGTCAACCACCAGAAAACTGGAAGTGGAACTGTGGCTCAAAGTGGTAGAGCACTAGCCTTGATCAAAAGGTCTTGGGGACAGTGTGCCCAGGCCCTGAATTCAAGCCTCACAACTGACAACAACAACAACAAAAAAAGAATTTGAGATTCTGACTAAAAACCTACCTTCTCAATCCCACTTTGTCATTGTTTGCTGTGGGATATGTTGTATTCTGATATCATAAATATATATTGAGTCTTCATCTCTAGTCAACTTCTCTTCCTACAGTCCTCTTGAGAGAGAGGAACATGAGAGGTATATATTTTAATTCAGATTAGGTTCATTTCTTTTTTTATAAAATGCAATTATTGTTATTGTTAAGGTGTACAGAGAGGCTACCATAAGTCAGGTAATGAGTACATTTCTCCTTTAGACAATGTCACTCCTTCTTTTGCTTTCCCCCATTTTCCCCCTTAAGTTCATTTCATGATTGATTGCTGGTACTGTGGCTTTAACTCAGGGCCTTGCACTAAATTACCTTGTTCACCTTGCTAGTTCCATTGGTGTTCTATCGCTTGAGCCATGTTTCGGTACAGTATTTTTTTTTTTTTTTTGCTAGTTAATTAGAGATGGAGTGACAAGGCTTTTGTTTTTGCTTGGCATGACTTGCACCTGCCATCCTCTGAATCTCAGCCTTTTGAATAGCTAGGATTATAGACGTGAGCCACCAGTGCCCAGGAGATTAGATCTCTTTTAATTAATGAGAGTTTATGATCTCTAGGTAGGTGACTCTCCAAGGACGGGACCTGGTTGCCAGAAGAACCAACCATATGATTAGAAAAGTAGAACTTTACAGCCCTATCTCTAACTTCCTGGGAGGAGAGCAGGGTATCCGAGTAATCACCAATGCACAGTGATCTAATCAATGGTGGCTACACATGGAAGTCTCCATAAAGGCCCTAAAAAAAAGGTTTTGGAGAACTCCCAGGTTGGCAAGTGAAAGAAACTCTTGTGCCAAGGATCTGGACCTTGTCCTATATACCTGTTCATTTGCACCTGTTCATAGCCGATTCTAGTGCTGGGGCTTGAACTCAGGGCCTGTGCACTGTCACTGAGATTTGTGCTCTACCACTTGAGCCACAGCTCCATATCTGGCATTTTTGGTTGTTCATTGGAGATAAGAGTCTCACAGAGTTTCATGCTCAAGCTGGCTTTGAACTACAATCCTCAGATTTTTTTTTTCTTGAACTTAGGGCCTACATGCTGTCCCTGAGCTTCTTTGCTCAAAGCTAGCATTCTACCACTTAAGCCACAGCTCCACTTCTGGCTTTTCTCACTGGTTAATTGGAGATAAGAATCTCACAGACTTTCCTAGCTAGGCTGGCTTTGAGGCAAGATCCTCAAATCTCAGCCTCCCAAGTAGCTAGGATTACAAGTGTGAGCCATTAATGCTGAACTTGAATAGCTCTGATACTAAATCAGTGACAGTAACTAAAGCATTTTCTTGACTTAATGTAAACCATTATAGCAAATCATTAAATCTAGGGAAGAGGTTGTGGGACTTCTCATTCCTAGACAAGTGGCCTGGGGACTTATGAAGCATATGTGAAGTGAAGGGCAGTTTTGTGGAATGATACATTTGAGGTGTCTGTGCCAACTCTACATAGTATCATCCCCGGATCAAATGATAGAACTCTTTAGTTATGTCAGAGAGTTGGAAAAGTGGTTGATGTGAGAAGGGAGTATTCATATATTTGGTATTACAAATATTGAAATCATTTTTATTTGTTTCATCCTCTTTAAACATCCATGGTTCCTAATATACTTAGCCCATTGTAATATCTTGCTGTTCCTTTAGTACTGTAACTCTTAAGCAATCATCAGTATTCTTGTAAGAATCTCTCTGACAATTCTAAACTAAAATCTCAATGATGTCACTCAGTTCACATGCCCAAAGGCGAAGACTCTGAAACCTTAAGTCATTATCAGTCCCCTTCTTCAAATTCTCTCCCTGCTAGCTTTTGTCTCCTCATTTTCCTGACCACCCATAAAAGGAGGCCCATTGCACGTTAGGGTTATCAGGTGTAGCTACTGGGACTTCAAAGGCAGAGGACCCAAGGTCTGAGCCACAAGTTCTGATCACCACTCTGACCTTTTTTTTTTTAGGTTAACCCTACACAGCTGCTGAAATCTCTCTGGGCCCAAAGCCATTAAGATCCTTGATTCAATGTACTTACTAAATTATTCTTACATGGGTTATCTGCCACTGTCCACAACAGGCAATGAGATGGTCATTCCTCAGTACTAGGAAGGTTTTTCTATATCAATGAACAATAGGTGGCGCTGTCTCCCAGGAAGCTTCTGAAAGATAGTTGGCTACTGCCATGACCAATCACTAGGGCCTCTTAAAAACTGCAGTGTAGCTGGTAGGTTACACCTATAATCATAGCTACTCATGAGGCTGAAATCCGAGAATCTTGATTTAAATCCAGCCAGCCTGGGCAGTAAAGTTCGTGAGACTCTTATCTCCAATTAATCACTAAAAAGCTGGAAGTGACCAGGTGCCAGTGGCTCATGCCTGTGTAAT